AAAACTTTAATCCGGGCTTTTGATCGTAAATTCGCTTCAGAAGCCCTGGGATTAAGTAAAAATAAATTGCGCATTCTGACAAGAGCCCTAACTGGACACTTTTGTCTTAAACAACACATGTCCATCCTGGGACTAAGTAACTCAAGGATGTGTCGGTTCTGTTCCATAACGGAAGAAACGCCTCTACACATCCTAACTGGTTGCGGACCCTTAATGCGTAAACGTAAAACTCATCTGGGAAACTATGTACTCCGCCCAGAATAAGTGAAATTGCTCACGGCTAAGCAACTCCTTCTATTCATTGAAGACATAGGGCTTAGCTGTGAACTATATCAATAGCAGCGATCACAATAGATCTTCTAGGTCGCAGTGATACTGGACTCTTCCCCTAGACCAGCATAGCTGCTCGCACATAATTAAAAAAATGTACAGGGTTATTTCGTGCTCAAAACTTCGGTGCTACTCGGGCGACGACGAAACCGACAACGATCGGAAGTCAGTGCTTGGCCAGACTGCGTACGCGGGCGCGGTGCGGACGCTACGCGACGTACTCAAACATAAAGTCTTCCTTTGAGTGTCCATAGTAGCCACACAGGCGCGGAGCGGACGCGTTGGCAGGCATAGGCTGGTTCGCCCGCGGGCAACTTACGCCATACATCGTTAATACAATTGGCCCAGTGAGGCGGGCGGCAAGCGGCTAACCACATGAGGAGCGGCCATCTCAAACCGCATCAAGCTAAGTGCTTGGCTAGACTGCAAACGCGGGCGCGGACGCGGTGCAGGTTCAGGTACGGGCACGACGTGACTGTCCGCAGTTGAGTGCGGCTTTGTTCCGAATGTTGCCGTGATCAGTGTTTGCCATCAAACTATAATATGGATGAAGAAGACTTATTTTTCCTGGATTTCTTACTTTAAATGGCAAATTCTACAAGTGAAAAATGGAATAAATGAAATCAATTTACCCAGAGAAAATGAAGGAGAATTTCATACCCTTAAATAAAAAAAAAACCGTAATATAAATTCCGTAAATAAAAATTTACGTAAAATTGCGTGCGAAAACTCAAAAGTTTTTTTGAATATAGGAGAATATCAATAGATACGTTCGACTATAACTTAGAAAACATAGTAAATTGTCTTTTTTTACTTTTTATAAGCCAGTGCTTGACCACAATCTTACCAGGTGGTAAGTGGTGATGCAGCCTTAGATGACAAATCGCACTGTCTTAGCGTAACAAATGCCTATCACTCTTGCCTTGAAGACGCCCAGATTGTATTCGGACGAAAAGATAGACGCCGGTAAATTATTCCACTCCTTTGCTGTACGTAATGAAAATGTCGAAGTAAACCGTTTGGTTCTAATTCGTGGTGAAAGGAGTGAAGACTCGCCGACCGCCTGATCGTCCGATGGTTGAAAGGAGAGGGAGGAATTAAAGCGTGCAATTCCTGCGCACACACTCCGAAATGCATCCTATAAAATTCCGAGAGGCTGGCTACTCTGCGCCTGTGTTCGAAGCTGACAAGGTTGGTTTCAACCAAATCAAGGTCACTAATGAGCCTCTTAGCACTAAGTCCAACGCTGCCAGGTGGCATTTTGCAGCACCAGCCCAAATGTGACAGCAGTACTCCATGCACGACTGGACTTGTGCTTTATATAAGGTAAGGAGCTGTCTCGGCGGGAAGTGTTGCCGTGCCCTTGTAAGAACACCGAGTTTCCTTGCGGCTGCTTTGGCTCTGGACTCAATGAACCGCCCATAGTTGAGGTTTGGAGAAAATTCGAAAATTCGGATACATTTTGGAAAGTAGGAGCCAGGGTGAGCGGGCTCCTTTTAGCGGTAAAAAGACACGCTTGTATTTTGGAGGCGTTGAATCTCACAAGATTGGCCTCGCCCCATTCGGAGACTGCCTGTAGTGTGAGACCCACACGCTCAATCATAGCCTCTCTTTTGGACTGGATTTGATCCCGACTGGCCCAAGCACTTGGTTGGTATCTCTCCACAACTGTGTTATAGTCTGCATACCCATAGATACCGGGCATAAGCAGATCGTTAATATTCAGCAGGAAGAGAGTTGTGGAGAGAACAGACCCCTAAGGAACACCGGCATCAGTCGCCACAGGATCGGATGAGCAGCCATCGACGACGACCCGGAGAGATCGTTCACTCAGGAAATCCTTTATACATTCAATCAGACCAGGGCATAAGCCGTACGCAGGAAGCTTACCCAAAAGGCTAGCGTGCCAAACTCTATCAAAGTCCTTCGAAACATCAAGGGAAATAGCAAGTGCTTCCCCACTGTTCTCGAGTACCTCACCCCATATGTGTGTGGCATACGCTAGAAGGTCCCCAGCTGACCGATTTCGGCGAAACCCGTATTGCCGGTCACAAAGGAGGTCATTTTGTTCTAGGTTTTGTCTTATAAAATAAACACTTCTACATTTACTTCGGAAATCGCCATTACAACGAGCGTGGTTAGCTCGATGTAGTTTGAGATGCCAGCTCCTCGCGTGGTTAGCCTTTTGCGGCCCGCGCACTCACTGCGGCCAATTGTATGAACGAACTATGGGGTGAGTTGCCCGCGCGCTCCCCGCGCCATCAAGCCCACGCCCGCTACAGCATCCACCCCTGCGCCTGCCCCACGTCCACATTTGCAGTCTGGCTAAGCACTAACCGCGCGCGTTGTAATGGCGTCTTCCGAAATAAATGTAGAAGAATTTATTTTATAAGACATTTTACGTTTTTATGTTTTCTAATATATAATCAAACGATTCCATTGATATTCTCTCATATAAAAAATTTGAGTTTGTGCTCGCAATTTTACATAGTGTATGAAATTCTCTTTCATTTTTCTCTGGGTAAACTGATTTCATTAATTCCATTTTTCACTTGTAGAACTTGCCATTTAAATTTAATTTAAAAAATTGCAAAAAAAATTATAAAAACATTACAGTAAAAATAAATCTTCGTCATATCTTCTTCATATTATAGTTTGACAAACACTAATCACGACAACGCACGGAACGAAGCCGCTCTCGACTGCCCTGCTCCCGCGCCGCGTTTCGCGCCCGCGTTTGCAGTCTAGCCAAGCACTCACCCGAGGCGAGGCAAGGTTGCCCGAAGTGAAGCGAAATGTCCCTGTACACACTCGTTTTTGCCCAACTTTGTTCAAATTTGCGAGTAGTATACTGCAGGCATAAGTTTGTGATCTAAGTCTTTGGCTACAACCATGGAGGTTAGAGAGAAGGGGAACGATCGCGGAATTTATAGTTGACACAGACGCAAGTAATAGGTATAGGACTTGGCGGTGTGTTGTCTCAACGAAATGGTGATCAAGAGGTTGTGATAGACTACTTCAGCAAGTCGTTGTCAAAACCGGTCGTGGTCACAGGACGCGAATTGCTAGCTGTGGTAAAGTCGTTGCAGCATTTTAGCAAATTTCTTCTGGGGCGCAAATTTCACTTACAAATTGACCATGCTGAACTAAAATAGATATTGCAGTTTAAAAATCCAGAAGGACAAGTTGCGAGGTGGATTGAACTACTGCAGGAATACGACTTTGTGATCGAACATCGCAGCGGAAAATCTCATGGCAACGCAGATGCATTGTCAAGACGACCTTGTCCTGAAGATTGCAAGCATTGTACTAGGCAAGAGGGTAAGGAAGTGGTATATGTGAGGATGCTGAGGACAGATCATCTCATCAACGAGTGGAAGGACTGCCTATAGCATGCGCAGCAGGAAGATCCGGACATCAAGCCGATTCTGGAATGGATGAAGGCTAGTGCTCCCAAGCCCAAGTGGAGCGACGTTTCAGCGATGAGTTCGACCACGAAAAGTTAGTGGGCCCAATGGGACAGCTTGCTGCTTCAGGATGGAGTTCTGTGCCGTAAATGCGAAAATGGTCGGGGAGACAGCTGTCATTTGCAAATGGTTATCCCTAAAAGCTAAAGTGCCGGATTTTCTACAGCTGTACCATAATGATTTTTCAGGAGGCCGGAGGATCACCGGGATACCACCTGATGCCCCACGCAGTATAAGCGTTTATGCAAATGGCTTACGGAACAAAATGACTGACATTTATGAGCACGTCAGACAATCGGGCCAGCAAATGTCTGAAAAGATGAAAACCGGGTATGACCGCAAAATGAATAACAAAGGGTTCGACGAACGTTCACTAGTGTGGTTGAACAATCCAGTCCGCAGCAAAGGGAAATTTACTAAGCTTCAAGCTAAATGGGACAGCCCGTACCGGATTGTGACCAGAATCAACGATGTAACCTACCGGATACAGGAAGGTGCAAGAGGTACTCCTAAGATCGTCCATGTGGATCGACTGGCGTGTTTCTATGGGGTCGATAATGCTCGGGACGAGCATGTCTTATTTATTCACAAGAAATATGGTACAAAGATGTTCTTATAAAATAATAATGTACCACATATTTCACCAATTTTAGGACATGAAAACTTACGGTTAGAATATACAAAATTTAAGTAAAATTAAACGTATAAATAAATAAATAATAAATTTATTAACAAGAAATATGGAACAAAGATGTTCTTATAAAATAATACTGTATCACATATTTCACCAATTTTGGTACATGAAAACTTACGGTTAGAATATATAAAATTTAAGTAAAATTAAACAAACATCAGTTTACAATTTTGATATTAATCCTTTAAAACACGATCAAATAAGAAACAGCGTTTAACAGTCAATAGAAACGTTCTTTTATTTTTAGCAGTTCATTTACCGAATAAAATTGTTTTTCCAAAAGCCACTTTAATAAATTACGTCTAAATCGACTATAATCTAGTTGCCTTATTTCATTTGTGATTTTATTAAACACATGAATAGCCATCACATAGCAATTTTTTGAGTACAGGCTAGTTTTTAATGAAGGCAAAATAATTTTATCTGGGTATCTGGTACTATATGTTACTGTATCTTTTCATCTAGTAAAAAAATTAGGATACTTTTTTACGAATATTGAAAGTTCAAAAATGTACATGGATGGTAAGAACATCCAATTCTTTAAATAGTGGTTTGCAAGAAACGAGTGGCCCGACACCACAAATTGCTGGTATACAGCGTTTTTTTTTTAGGTTGTCTGGAAGAAATGGCTGCATAGCAATAAGACCACCTTTTGTTTTTCTCTTTGTTTGTTTCTTGTTATGTTGTTTTCTTAGTGTTCAATAAAGGGTATTGTATTGTATTGTTTTTGCGCAATTTGCAAATTGTAATTCAATCGGCAGTTTTTATTGTCACGAACCTTAATCTCGTAACAATATAATTACAGCTAGACAATAGACATTACCTCCCACAAGTTCAAGGTTGGTACAGCAGTATCGGCTAATTTTCTTTTATTGATAACTTGGATATGAAATATGATTTATGAAATATCTCCTATGTAGATGATACTGCGGTAATATTTACTGATAACTCCTGGGATTCTGTTCGTAGATCTGCTGAAGAAGGCCCTGCTAGAATCGCTAAGTGGCAGAACACTAACCTACTTACTTTAAATACTTTGAAAACTGTTTATATATGATTTACAAATTATATTCGTACTCAGCTTAATATTAATTTCCAGATTAAACGTCACAAATGCTATGATCCCTTAAGTACTAGTTGCAGCTGTTCATTAATAAGTAAGGTCTCTGAGATCAAGTATTTAGGAGCCACATTTGTCATGGCATAGACACATTGAATTAATCATGAATAGACTTGGAGAAGAAAGGTGACAACGCCCTCTTGAAGAACTACAGACCGATATCCCTTCTGAGCCGCGTCTACGTGCTGTTTTTGAGAGTCATTACGAATCGTCTCGCATGCAGACTCAACGACTTCCAGTCTCCCGAACAAGCCGGTTTCCGAAAAGGCTTCAGTACCATAGACCACATACATACCCTGCGGCAAATTGTACAGAAGTCCGAAGAGCACAATCTGCCACTATATGTGGACTATGAGAAAGCCTTTGATTCCGTCGAAATTTGGGCGGTGCTACAGTCTCTTCAGCGGTGCCAAGTTGACTATCGGTATATCGAAGTACTGAAGTGTTTGTACAGTAGGGCTACGAGGGCTATCCGAGTACAGAACCAGAGTACGAAACCTATCCAACTGCAGAGAGGTGTAAGAAAGGGTGACGTTATTTCCCCGAAACTCTTCACCGCTGCATTGGAAGACGTTTTCAAGCTACTGGACTGGAAAGGATACGGTATTAACCATAGAAAACAGAAAAACATAGAATGGCATTATGGGCGGGGCACGCATGCCACTGATTTGCCAAAACGGTCATATAAATCGCGAGGCACGTGATCGCGCTCATAAGTCACTCACGAACGCTCTCACAGTGCGCAAGTGAAACGCGGCGACTAAATTTGACGAAAAATACCTACTTGTGCTGTTATTAGTTGTAAAGCAAGGAGTGAAGTGTCGAGTGTAGCCAAAGGAGGAATTTCTTTTCATCGGTACCTAAGTAAAAAAACTTCTCAAATTTACTGTTTTTAAGTCAAAATCTGTAAAATGTTATTAAAATTCTTAAAAATATACATTGCTATCAAAGTACGTATACCATTTTTATAGTGTCGTTTTAAGCACGCAATGTAAAGGTGACACATGATTCTAGTGAAGAGACACGCACTCTGTAGCAATTTATCGATAAGTTTCAATTTCTTTTGGGTAGTAATCTTCATTATCTTTCTTATAAAAATAATTATTAATGGTATTGATCATTACGCTAAGCATTTTATCGATATCTTTATAGATTCGGATTCTTAGGTAAAAGGGAATGCCGGAAAGTGGCGTCTTTTTTATTCAACCAAACCTTGTTATTTGGATTTTGGATTCATTTGGATTAAAAAAAAAACTAAAGTATATACTAAAGTATATACATATAAGGCATTTTGCTTCCTATAACATTACAGTTTTCCTAAAAAGGCAGATATACGGAAACAGTGGATCGAAATTACTGGTCGTAAAGACTGGATTCCGACTAAATCAAGTACCATTTGTTCACAACACTTTAATGAAGATGACTTCGAGGTCAAAAATTCTAAGAAGAGATATTTAAAAAACGGTGCAGTACCACATGTACAAGTTGTGTACATTGTATGTTTATACTATTTTATAAAGTTATATTTTGTTCATAACTGTAAATATGTTCATATATTGTTGACAATATTTTTTAGGTTAATGATACAAAGGATTCTACTTTGTCATCACGAAAACGTACTCAGAAGAACATAGGCAATGAAATAATAAACAAACGTGCTAAAGTTCAGGTTAGTTATAGATGGTACCTAAGTAACACATTATTTTGCTGAGTTTCACTTTTATTGCTGTTACCAATCAACAAACTTCGTTTATCTTTCGTAGTTAAACTATTAATTTAGCTTAATATATAGCACTGTAGATCTTATTATCTTGTTTTATTTTAGGAAATTGTAGATCCAATACTGACAACTTCTTCAACGGTAACGGTAATGGAAGAGAGTGCTAGTCAAACAATAAGGGATGTAGATCCAGTACCGTTAAACTCTTCAACAGTATTCATGGAAGAGAGTGTTAATCAACCAATTAAGGATATAGATCCAGTACCGACTAATTCTTCAGTATTAATGGAGGAGTGTTCTAGTATAGCAATACAGGTAACAACGGACTATGTAAAAAAATTTCAGTCCAGTGTTCCTTCCTTCATTGACTCCAATGCGTCAACGCCGAGAAAAAGAAGATTAACACGAATAACATCTTCTAAAGAAAATATCATAAAACACCAAAGAAATCAGATTAAAAGAATACAAGCACAAAATCGGCGATTAAAGAAAAAAATACATAAAATGGCAGATATAATAAATGACTTAGAAAAAAAGTTTTCACTGAAAGAAGAACAGTTAAGTGCATTGAGAGGCACAAATTTACAGGTGAAAGGTTACTCTTTAAACCGAATTTTTATTATTATTTAATTTTTTGTATGTATGTTACGGGATTCCTTCGGTTTTTACATCCCAAATTTTTTTTGAATGAATTTGGTAAACAATTTTTATTTTATTTTGTAGCTTGAAGAATTGATTAGTCAGTACATATCAAAAGAAATGTCCGGTGGAATTACAAAACGGCGTTATTCCCCAGCTCTCCGAACATTTGCACTTACCTTACATTACTATTCGCCCAAAGTGTATAATTACGTAAGAGATACATTTAAAACATGCTTGCCTCATGTACGTACTTTACGAAAATGATAGACGGTCTAATGATAGATGAAATGGCAATAAGACGTCGTATAGAATGGGACGGAGTAAAACTGCACGGGCATGTTGAGATCGGTAGCGGAATAGAAGGTGACCATATAACGGAAGCAAAGGAGGCATTATTTTTTTTAGTGACTGGCATTAACTGTAATTTTAAGGTGCCTATGGGTTATTTTTTGATTGACGGAATGACTGGAGTTCAACGAGCTGAACTAGTAAAACAATGTCAAGAAAAGATACATGAAACTGGAGTAAAAATTGTTTCTCTAACTTTTGATGGCTGTGCCTCTAACATAGCTATGTTGAAACACCTGGGATGTAACTTTGAAGAGGAAAAAATGAAATTTGAAGATCCGGTCACAAAATATCCAATTATGGCACTTTTAGATCCATCTCACATGGTTAAACTAATACGCAACGCATTTCAGGTTTGCTATGACTTATGTAATTAATTTTAACAAATTTTTGCTCACGACGTGATTTGCGTGGAAATATTGATATATGTCTTCTTCTTCTCCCTGTCCTTATCCCAATTCATTAAGGATCTACGCAACACGATTTATCTCTCTCTCTAGATTGGAGACACATATTGCATCAGGATCAGGCAATGGTTTTTACGGTTTTTTAAATTGTGACGTTTCACGAAAATTGATTTCAGTTTTCGGTAAGTTGTCATATACACCTGTGTTATTTGATAATATTATAGGTCTACCAAGTGTTTGTTGATGAGTATGGCAATAAAATAAAGTGGTCCTAACTTGAGGAACTAAACAAGCTCCAAGAAAAGGAAAAATTTCATTTGGCGAACAAGTTGAGATATCGGCATATACACTATCAAAATCAAAAGATGAAAGTTAAACTTGCCACCCAATTATTTAGTTTAAGCGTATGTGATGCCATAGATTTTTGCAGAGAACTAAATTTACCAATTGTTCGTGAAAGTTTACCAACAACAGTTTTCTTAAAAACAATTAATAATTTTTTTGATATACTTAATTCAAAAAAGCATGTCACAACACGGTTATAAAAAACCTATTAATGAAAATAATGCTAAAGAAATTTTAGAATATGTAGATAAAGTTGCTGGCTATATATCTAATTTAAAGTGTGACAATGGCCCACTTTTGATTGAAAGCCAAAGGAAAGTAGGTTTCAAAGGATTTATCGGCTGCGCTGTAGCTGTCAGACACTTTTATGAGACTCTTGTTCAAACTGGAGAATTGGTCTTTTTTCCTTTTTATAAAACAAGCTAAAACCATCTGGAATTACTTTTTGGCAATATTAGATCTCATGGTGGATCTAATAACAATCCGACAGCCAGGCAGTTTAAAGCAGCATATAAAAAACTATTAGTTCACATAGAACTCAAGGATTTCGGCAGTGGCAACTGTAATGTGCTTGAACAGTTATCTATTTTAACCTGCTCAGCTGTTGACCGGATTAATTTGACCACGCCGTCAACAGAAAAAGCTTGCGACGACGAATCAGACAATGAATACCAAGAAGAAATGCTGGATCATTATTATTTGACAGATTTCAGTATGCAAGTTATAGGTAATTTTTTTCACACATCATTTTTCAAGTTTTGATCGTAAATCTTACCCTTTGCATATTACAAAAGCTTATAAAAAAAACAAATCTCGCAACTCAGTTCTTCTACCGTAAAAAACTGTGAGATCCATGTAAAACCAAGTCCGTTAAATAAAGAGATTGACTTGGCCATCGCATGAAAACACAATGTATCTAACAAACAATACATATTCTATTAAACTAGATTGTTTAGTGCGATGGCCAAGTCAATATTTTTATTTAACCGACTTGGTATTACATGGATCTCACAACTTTTTACGGTAGAAAAACTGAGTTGCGAGACTTGGTTTTTTTTATAAGTTTTGTTTTTAAGGGATCTCATTTCTTTTTGTAGATAATTATATCTAGGTACCTATAGACACAAATTCCATTATACATATTACAAATACAGGTACACTGATTCGTTCACTGCAAATGTAACTTTGTAATCCTATATATTTATATGGGATTATAAAGTTATTTGTGCAGTTGGTGTATCTAGAAAACTGGACCAAAAACGCAACAATTTTTTTTTAGTTTTTCCTTGATCTATACAGTAAACACTAATTGTATTCTAAATTCCAAGCTTCTATGTCTGCTAGAAGTGTCTTAGACTTTTGATGATCGGTCAGTCAGTCAGTCAGTCAGTGACAAAATTAAGTCAGTGAAAAATTGCTTCATAATTACAACATTAATTTTAATACAGTAATTTTTTTATTTATAGCTTACCTAAATACAAACTGTATTTCAACATTCCTACATAACACGAACATTGAATAAAACTATTATTGCGTAAATAATAAACTATTTTTGCGTAAATCGGTCCAAAAATTAATATTCAAAAACTGAAGGTAGCCGGGCTAACAATGACATTGGGACGTCAAACATCTCAGTCCCCCCCCCGTGACCATGGGTGCTGTAAAGCACCCGAAACGTCGGGATAATAATAAAAATAAATTAAAGTAATTAAACGCGATAAAATCCGTAAATAATAGTTTTATTCAATGTGTAGTGTTCGCGTAAATTTAAGAAATCATTATAACACGAACACTCAACTTGTAGTTTTTATCGATATCGATAAAAATTGTCAATCGCCACTTCACCTCACTAGTTGTTTACGCGTCTTTACGCCTTCACTACATGTATGTGTGGATGTATAAGTGAGCACGCGCCGGATTAGTTCGCTCGATTTTGCCTGTCATTTGATTGGCTCTTTTACACATTCGATTGGCGTCTTTAATGCATGTGTGAGCGTGTACTTATATTTGCAAATGTAGTTGTGACAATAGGGTTCCGCCTACTGCCGACGCAGGTTCTCGTACAAAAAGTGCATTGGAGCCGTTCTAATGTCTTATTCCGTTTTCTGTGGTATTAACATCAATTGCGAGTACAACAATCACCTTCGATTTGCCGACGATATAGTCCTTATGGCAGAATCGCTGGAAGACTTGAGCACTATGCTCAATGACCTCAATGGTGTCTCCCAACGGATAGGTCTTAAGATGAACATGGACAAAACAAAGATCATGTTTAATGTCCATGTCACACCTATGCCAGTAGTTGTTGGGAGCACAAAGCTCGAAGTTATTGACGAGTACGTTTACCTGAGACAAATAGTCCGACTAGGTAAGTCCAAATTCGACCGAGAGGTCAATCGACGGATTCAATTCGGCTGGGCAGCGTTCTGGAAAATACGACGAATCTTCCCGTCAGTTATACCTCAAAACATGAAAACTAATTTCTACAACCAGTGCGTGTTGCCAGTGATGACCTTCGGAACCGAGACGTGGTCCTTCACTGCTGGCCGTATGAGTACGCTCAAAGTCGCTCTGCGAGCTATGGAGAGGGCTATGCTTGGAGTTTCTCTGCGTGATAAACTTAGAAATGAGGATATCCGCAGTAGAACCAGAGTGACCGACATAGCCCAACGGATTAGTAAGCTGAAGTGGCAATGGGCCGGCCATATAGCTCGAAGAACCGACAACCGTTGGGGAAAAAAGGTTCTCGAGTGGCAGCCTCGTACCGGTAGGCGAAGTGTAGGGCGACCCCCCACTAGATGGAGTGACCACCTGGTATGACATGCAGGAAGTCGATGGATGCAGGTGGCTCAGGATCGTGCTTTGTGGTATACCTTCGGGGAGGCCTATGTTCAGCAGTGGACTTGTGAATGAATGCAAGTGGCTGTAATGATGATGAGACTTGGAAACTTAGATGAACATTTAAAACTAATATTGTTTTTTTTTTAAATTAGTACATGACCATGGAGGTTAAAGAACAGGAGAACGATCGCTACGTACTAAAGCATAGCCTGCCTGTCCTTGAAAATTGTAGAATTTATAACGGTACTTACGTCGGTGAGTAGTGACTGCGAAGTTAGCTGTTTATGAGTACAAGTAGATGAAGTAAGTTCAATAATGTACAAATTTTCTTCGAGGCATTGGTGAGAAAATAATCGTGCTACGTAAGTTTTTTGATTTTTTACAAAAAGAAACATTAAAAAATGGTTAAATATTGTATCATGCGTGGATGTGCAAGTGGTTTAGCATCTGATCGGAAAAATAGACTGAAAATGACTTTAATTGAGACAACTTAGCGATCGCAGAGCTTCACTTGTTTTGTCCATATTTCTGGGACACTATTTTCTACAGCGATTGTTCTTATTCTCTCTAACCTCCATGGCTACAACATTACCAAAGAGTTGGTACCTAGATCAAGTGTCAATCTGTAATCTGTCTTCCTGTATAAGGCCCGCCACATACTACATACATTTCGGAATTCCGAAACGGAACAAGCGGGTTAGTCACACAAATACGGAATCCCGTTTTGCTCGCAAAGTTTCGAACGTAAAACTACCGTAAGTGCGTGAATTGCTGTAATTCCGAAACGGAATCCCGAAACTGAATTCCGTATGTATGTGGCGGGCATAAGTCAGTTACTATACTCGGTTTTTGGCGGGAACTTGACCGTCGGCGGATTGTTGCGTAATGGTTTGAAGTGAATTTTAATACGTAAAAGTAATTCGATTTTGCGTATTAAGTATCTGCGCAGGTTAACTATTAGAAAAAATGACAAATCTCTAATTATTTGGATCACCTGGGCGCCTTATGAACTTGAGTGACTATCGTCTTCGATTGACCTCTAGCCCTGTGTTTAACTATAGATAAAATCACCCTAAAACAATACAATGTGACATATTAGAATATTGTGAAGAAGAAAAAATTTACCAAAATGAAAATCCCGAATGAATGAAGATATGGCTTAAAGACCAAGCAGCCAAGCCAAAAATATTAATAAAAAATACATTGTGTCAAACGTAGACAGAGAAACCTAGTGTCAAACTTCTTGTCAAAAAGAAAAAAACGCGGAAACCAAAGAGTATAGTAAATGGGTGCGTATGGCAGAAAAAAGCGCTAGCAAGCGCTTGTAAGCAAAATGGCGATCGTAAGCGGTAAGCGCTGTCAAATCGTAAGTAGCTATTTTCCTCCAGGACACGATGTAAGTTTTAACCGGGGAACCTAACCTAATTTAAACATATGTTTGTAAAGTATTCATATTAAAAACTTACCAATCATGAATTTTTAATAACATGTATATGTTTATTCATGTCATTATATTACTTAAAACTAAAATATTGCACAAAACAACTTATAATTTCTACTTCAAAACAAACAAATTAAATAAGCAAAATAGCGGATTGTGTCATCGCTACTGAAGTAGCAATCATGTCCTGGCCGAAAACTATTTTAGCGCTTGTAAGCGCTTGCTAGCGCTTTTTTCTGCCAAACGCACCCAATATATAAGGAAAGCGGGAACCTTGAAACTTGATAGATGCTTTTTTTTAAATTAAAATTTTAATTTTGTTTTGTTTAGTTAAAAGGCACTAAACTTTTATTGTTTTATTGTTATTGGGTATCCTCATCATGGGGAAACGTAGAAAAAAAAAGTTGTCGGGAGAAGAAGAAGTCTTTGAAGAAACGACTGAGGAGGAAGATGCTGGCACCAGTACTGAGGAAGATTCTGAGAAAGAGTAGCGCAAGTATAAGCCGTACTTTGTATCTGACTACAATAGGAGGTACCCTGAGGCCTGAGAACTCTGTCCTCGTTGATTTCGTTGTCTTTGTCGAATCAAATGATGAAAGAAGGCCAATCGGCACGCGGGATATGATGTCTCTGTCCACACATATGAAGAGGTTCAATAAAGGCATTAAATATTTGCAATCTATGAATAAATACAAAATAGGCGTCCATTTTGAAAAGTCCTCTCTAGCGAATGCATTTTTAAATAACGTTACATTTCTTAATGAATACAAAATGAAGGCATCTATCCCAGCTATAGGGACAGAAATAACAGAAGTCATAACTAATGTTTCCACTAATCTTTCTAATTCAAGAATTTTCGGTATGTTAACGACTTACAGGAAGATTATATGTGTTAAAAGGATAATGAGGAAACTTAAGAATGATGCAGGACGCAGTTTGATGCAGCCGATGGGCACCGTGGTCATCACATTCGCTTCTAATGTTTTGCCGGACCACGTCGATCTTTATGGTTGGCGGTTCGTGTTAAATCAGTATATTACACCAGTGAAGCAGTGCTACAACTGTCTGAGTGGGGTATGGCCACTTAGCAAAGTACTGTAAAAAATCTGTGAAATGCTCAAATTGTACTGAAAATCACAGCTACAAAGATTGTCAAGTCTCTTTAGATAAAGCGATATGTATACATTGCAAAGTGGGGAGCTGATCCAGAAATATTATTAATGTTATATAAATCTTTGGTGAGGAGCCATTTTGAGTATAACTACAGAGAGAGTAAAACTAGTAAACAAATTAGACACTACACAATAAAAGAATTTAAGAATTATTACCGGCTCCATGAGAACAACTCCTATTGCTTCTTTACAGGCTGAATGTCTTACTCCTCCTATTTTACTTAGGTTTAAGTATCTGAAATTTAGGTTTTTATTAAATATTAATTCTTTGTCTCATCATCCTCTTTTTCAAAAAGTATTATTTTACTATAATAGTATGTGTCTCCTATATCTAACTCAGCCCCATATATACTCCATGACTTTCATGAAGTGATACAATATGATGAACAATATAATATACCTACACACATATTTGGCCTTGTTATAAGGGGAATTATGAAAGTAAATTCAGTGATATACACATAAACATTAATGAAAAATTGAAAAGAAAAGAAGAGGTTTATGAACTTATATCTACATATATGATGAATATCGACAAATTTACACAGATGTTTCAAAAGTAGAAAATAAAGTAGCCTGTGCATTTTACATACCTCATCTGAAAACTGGACGTGGCCTTTCCATTCCTGCATCAGCAAGCATATACACTGCAGAATGTTATACTGTCTTAATCACTCTTAAATATATAGATGAACATCCACATGTATCTAATAAATGGTTACCACAGACTACTAAGAGGATACTAAATGGTTACTGATCTCCGATAGCATGAGAGTCTTGAAGGCACTGAAGGCAAGAACTTTAGAGGCTAAAACGTCGGTTAAACTATAGACGTCCGGTACTCGTGTACGGTGTTGGGAGGGGGAGGGGGTCATGGGAAGCCCCCCTACTCTTCCCCCGTTGCGGAAATGTTTAAATAATTTTTATTTGTAAAATTATAACCTCACTTTTTATACAGGAATATTGACACAAAGTTACTTATGCAACGGCCATACGGTGATGTGAGTGTGAAAGGGGAGGGGGATCACGGGAAGCCCCCCCTACCCTTCCCCCCGTTACGGAAATGTATAGTTTATGAGTAATAATTTTTTTGTAAAATCATAACCTCACTTTTTATACAGGAATATTGACGCAAAGTTACTTGCATTTCTGCAACGGCTTCGGCACTGCACGAAGTGCAACCCCTTCGCCCTTGCGTAGCAAATCACAGGCACCTAAGTGAGACTTAATTTTAAGTTAGTTGAGCCTTTGGCGACCAGCCTCAGCCGCTACGGATCACTTAGGTGCCTGCGATTTGCTACGCAAGGGCGAAGGGGCTGCTCTCCCTCCGTGCCTACGGCTTTACAAAAACACTCCAGGGGTAGGGCAGACGAGACTACGTGGAGTCGGGGTGTGCTAATTCGGTTTTAGAACCGATTCGATCAATCTTATCTATAAAGTCTGGTTGCCCTAAAATCTGCTGTGATAGTGATAAATGAAATAAAGTAATGTGAATTGTTATAATTTTGTTTTCTGAAAAACCTCTTGACTGCTCTACACTGCGACTCAATTTGTTGTGTATACTCGTAAGTCCCGTCTAAAGCCACAAATGGATTGTCTGGATCCGAGTGATTAACTTTTTTATAAGTGCATCTATTTGCGTTTCGTTATTGCAATTTTTGGTGAAATTAATTTTTATCGTTTTTTATATTTTATCTTATTGAAAAGGCATTTTCGAAATCCATAAACAGTGTAAATAGTTCAAGCTTAATCCTGACAATCCTCCTAAATTGAAAACAAAATTAAAAAATTATGTAACGGACATCTACTTCATACACGAGAACAAATTGACATTTTTGCGTTTCGTTATTACACAATTTTTAGTGAAATTTGTTTTTATCGTAATTAATTCAAAACGCATTTCCGACATCTAAACACAGTGTAATAGGTTCAAGCTTAACCCCAACAAGCTTGCTAGACTAAAAATATTATCAAAATTAAGTACCGGATGTCTATAGCCAACCCAAACCTCTTTCATCATATGTGAAATCAAAAGTTTGTGGTGGAAATTGAAAGAAAATAATTTGGAAGTTAAATTTTTATAGGCTACGTCACATATTGGTGTACAAGGAAATGAAAGCGCAGATAATTTAGCTAAAAGCTTTGAGTATTAAACCAAAGGAGACGGCATCGCAAGGCATACCCCTCTGTAAAAGGTACGAGAGTCCGACTCATACCCGTTATATAAAACTAGTTGCTCCGCGTCGTGCGTCATTCCGAAGTGATCGTGCCAGTAAATCGAGCTCCGACAAAATGCCGAATTTCAGTGTATTTACATGAAAAAAAACGTCAAGTATACAAAAGGAAAATGTGACTTCATGTGTGAGTATTTATAACATAATATTAAAGTAATTTTATCATTATAACTCGTACTTTGTGAATATTTTCGTCCAATACCAAGTGTGGCCATCATAGTTCATAAAGTGAAAAATTATCTTTTTTTAAATAAATATAATTTACTACACAAGTTAAATATATTAACGAAAATATATTTCCTAATGACTAAATCAGTTTGTGATGAATAATAATCACTACATATAGATGTGTAGTGGATTTTGTTAAATGATTTATATATTCAGCACAATTTCAACACGATACTGAATATTATATAATTTAATATAATCGATACCTAGTATTTATCAAAATATTATACAAAATAAAGGACAAATAAGTCAAATCGAAACTTGCTGCTTCGCAGCAAAAATGTGCAATTTTTATAAATATAAACTGGTATCACTGCAACCGAAAGCATTGCCCTATAGTGATATATATATATATATATATATATATATATATATATATATTCTTGAATCTTCTGACTTACGTAAGTAAATTAGTAAATTAGTTATTTTAGGGTGATCGTGGTGATTGCACAATATCGTCTACATCGAAAAAAGAAAGCTGGATGTTCCGGAAAAATTCCATTAGTTGTCTCGAAAGTCACAATTCGAAAAAAATTCTTTATATAGCCCGAACTAGTCCTACTCTCACTGCGAGTACGAGTCAACACTTAGGCCAAGGAAAATTGAACTGAAAAAATGCCTTGACATAAAAAACAATAGCACAAACAGGCTTCACAAGTTTGCAAGAAACACTTTGCCCTAACACTTGTCATGATTCAATCTATTTTTCAATAATAAATTGCTAAAATGAATACGTATTTTCGGTCAAATTTGTAGTAAATCTGCTTGTCTCTGATTGGTTGGTTTGAAACTGACAATTCCCACACACACCAATCAGAAGCAAGTTAAGAAAAGTGATAGGGGAAACGTTTTTGCTTTGAGATTGAGCAAGCGGTCGGAGTGTCATTCCTGTTGAAGTAGCGGTGGCTTCTGGTCACGAGATAAATTATTCGCCAAAATAGTTTTATTTAAATTATTCATAATAATTCTGTATTACAATTTAAGTTGAAAAGTACCAGCTACGTTATTATAATATTTACCTCAGAATGTGGACTGTGGACGACACGAATCCAATAAATCAGTTTTCCTATTACCCTTGAGTTTAATTCTTAAAATCTCAGAAGTGGGATTATTCTCTGCTGAAAACATTGTTTGAAGGTATGTACAATTGCAAAATTTTTACATTTAAATGCTTATGGCCCTTTGGACATACTTGATAAAATGATTGAATGCTTTTTGCGACAAAATAGAAATGTTAGTTTGGATTTCGTGGCACAGTGTACACGGTCTGGGGTCATTTTGGTCGGGGCAACTCTCCGATGATGTGCCCGGTTAGTGTTACATCGTAAAGCTACGCTATCGATTTCAATTACTAGTAGTTGATAGAAATAGCGTTTTGATTCGCAAGTGAACATTTAGTCAAGGCGACTCCTTGATAGTATTCGCTGCGGCGATATTAGCATTTGTTAGTAGATATAGGTACTTACGTACCTTTAACTCTTGTCGAAATGGCATTTGGGCGAGGCAACTCTTCGACAATTCCATTCCGAACAAGCGATATACTGAAATGCATCGCACGTGAGAAACTTGGTTGAGGCTACTCCTCAATAGCGTCTTGCTGCGATGTATTTTGTATGAGTAAGTCTTTGTTGTTACCTACACTTTTTACACTTTTACGAAATGGCATTTGGTTGAGGTAACTCTTCAACAATTCCATTTCGAAGAAGTGATATACTAAGGTGCATCTCATGTGGAGCGCTTGGTTGAGGCTACTCCTCAATGGTGTTCTACTGCGATTGTATTTTGTATTACTTATCATTCTGTAGAGAAGTACTAGCAATTTATTAAGTTTTGTAAATTTTTTTGTTAGTGTCAAGTATGTCATAAGAGAATTGTATTTAGTAAGGACCAAGTGTGTCCTTGTGGCCATGTGTGCCTCTAGTAAGGGCCAAGTGTGTCCTTTTGGCCACGTGTGCCTCTATTAAGGGCCAAGTGTGTCCTTGTGGCCATGTGTGCCCCTAGTAAGGGCCAAGTGCGTCCTTGTGGCAATGTGTGCCTCTAATAAGGGCCAAGTGTGTCCTTGTGGCCATGTGTGCCGCTAGTAAGGCCCAAGTGTGTCCTAGTGGCCATGTGTGCCTTTAGTAAGGGCCATGTGTGTCCTTGTGGCCATGTGTGCCTTTAGTAAGGGCCAAGTGTGTCCTTGTGACCATGTGTGCCTCAGTAAGGGCCACGTGCGTCCTTGTGGCCATGTGCACCTCGGCAAAGATCAAGTGTGTCCTTGTGGCCATGTGTCCCTCTAGTAAGGGTGAGCCCATAAGTGATCATATGCATCACCCACTAGCTTAAATTTCATTAATTTTCTTATTTCTTATTTTTTTGCATACATAGAATTTTTGCACCGGTATCTGGAAAGGTAGAGGTGTGAACGATATACTGACGCCTCACTTGCAAAAAAAACTTTCCAACCCTAAATTTAATTGGGTGCTTG